TAAGACAGGCTGCAGCCTGCAGCGAGCTTCCCCCTCCTTCTCCTCTTTCTAACTGTATTTTTTTCTTTTTTTTTTCTTCTTTTTTTGTTTTGTGCTTGGATCCTGATTTGCTGTGTGTGGTAGAGCTCTCTGTATTTTCTGTGTCTGCTGCATTCCTACTCTTTGTTAGCTGGTTAAAAAGAGGAAGCAAGAAGCATTCGGGAGAGAAGTCTACTTAAATAAATGCAACAGGTTAGATGATTTCCCCCCCGCCCCCCTTTTCATCATTGGGGTTTTACTTTCCTCCGAAGTGATGATGAATTGGAGTCACAAGGTTTGGAGCAAGAGACAAACTCTTTGAAAAGTTTTTTGTATTCAAGTAAGACTTTAATCCTGATTTTCATCTCAGGACTGTCTATGCTGTAGATAATTGTCGTCTAGCAGGTTAATTTAGTATTTTTGTCCTTGTTACAGGACGAGCTTGAGATTGGCATAACACAAAAAAAAAGTCTTTTAAAAAAGTTAGTAAGCCCAAGACATTGTCTGGATTTAATGAGGCCTGCTCCCGAGATGCCTAGGTAATTCACACCCAGTCTCTCTGAAGTTAATTATGTGCTGGTATACAAAGCCTAAATCCTTCTAAAGTAACTTCCTTACAGATGTTACTATGAACTTATTAAATCCTGTGATGCATCATCAGTCTTGCTGGTGTCAGCTGGAGCGAAGGGCTCCGAGCACGGCGGAGGACTAAGCACATCTTAAGAATTCATCATGAAAAGGAATTTTTAATTATTTGGCCATGCCTTTCCACCGTAAGATTTTAAGCACATAGCAGATAATATTCTCTGAGGCTTCGCACAATAAACTGTTTGTTAGTTGTTTGTGTTTGGACTTTATTTTAGGCGGGGCTTACTGTCGTGTGTATATTGGTGGTAGACACAAATATTCGTATTTCAGGTGCTCTTACACAAAGCTGGACTGCCCCAGCAGCCTGCTGTACGTTCTGCTGTGTGGCCAGTCACTATCAGGTGGGAATGGTGCTCTGATATATTTTTTTTTTTTTGAGTACCATATCAGAATATTTCCCCTCCTCCTCCCCTCAGCAGAGTGACTTTCCACATAAGATTTGAACTGCTATTTTCCTAATCTTTTAAGGAAATCTTTCTTGGCGTATTCAGTAGGTCACTATGAATAATGTGCTTTTCCGTTTGGCAGCCAGACTGGAAAGCTGGGGGAAGGGGAAGCAGAGAGGAAGGCAAGGGCTCATTACATTCGGGGATCGGAGTGAAACCAGCACTTCCCTTTTCTTCCAAGATCCAGCAAAAGCCAGCGCTTTGCTCTGGTGGCAGTCATCCCTTTCCAACCCGAGAACTTCTTGGTGCCTCTGAGAAAAGCAGTGGATGAGGAGGTCTAAACTCACCAGGCTGCAGCTAGGATGGTCATGGCATCCTAGCTTTACCCCGAGGTTTAGGGGGGCAGTAGGCTGGAGGCAAAAGTGAGGGCATGAGAATACCCTTGCCCGAGGTTGGGGAGCCTGGGTTGAACCCTTCCCCGTGGACATTTAGATGTCAAAGAAAAGTGGAAGAGGAACAGAGTGCTTCTCTACTGGACAGTGCTTAGCCAGGCTGGTGGGGCTGCCCTCCGAAGGAGGGGTTCAGGCAAGGCTGGTGTTCAGTTCATCTCATGCTCCTCGTGGTAGGAGTGGTGGGTACCCCTGACCTGGAGCTGCCGGAGAGCTTATGGGTCCAAGAACCAGGCTGAAAACTGTTCTCCAGGCAGCTCCATCAGATAGAGCTCACAGGTAAGACTGCTTCCCCATCCCATCCCAGCAAGCGTGCTGCTCACGGAGGAAACACGGCGTGGTGGCAGGGCTCGGGATTTGGCCCTTTTTGTGCCTAGGCTCAGTTTCTTGGCTGTTGTAAAACCTGGTGACACTTGAAATGGATGGCAGCTACGTCAGATCCCAGCTCTGCACAGGAGAGACGCTGGTCACCTTCCGGAGTCTCCATGGGAGGCGCCTGCCCATCTGGAAACCAGTTTGGCTCCCACTGGCTACGGTGGGAGCTGGAGGGAGATGTGGTGTCTGCATCGTTTCCTAACCCCCACTCCTCCTGGCTCACCAGCCCTTACTCTGTACAGCTCCTCTGAGAGAGTTCACGTTACTGGTACTTTATCTACATCACTACAATGCTGCTGCCCCCACGGGATTTTAAACAGCCGGGCTGATGCGATTCGAGTGGGGATGGGGGCCGAGAGCTGCGCAAGCCCGCAGCGATCGATGGGACTGCGCAAGGAAAGCAGCGCCGACCTGCGCTCGCTCCCTCTTGGCGCTCGTGAAGATGAACGGTTTACTGGTGGAGGAGTGACCGGGTCCTCTGCTCCGTGGGAGAAGGGGAAACGGGGAGGGCAGGTACCAGGGCTGCGGTGTAGGAGTAGCCCAAGGGGGTCATCATCCAGGGAGCGAGCGTAGTGCACGGGGCGAGCGTGCAGGCGGGGTGAGCCTGCTCGTGGGAGGGGAGGCATGGTGGAACGAGCGCTGACAGGCAAGGGGGTGGCTGGTTCAGGTAGCTCGGCAGTTGCAAAAATGCACATGCTCTGCATCCCTGAACTCATCACCCAGCCCCTAGCAGTCTGGTGAATCCGGGTACTCAGTCACCTTCTGAATCCCTAAAAACTTCTGCTGTCACATTGCCTTGTTGCCAGCTTAACACCACACTGTGGGGAGAAGTGTTTCCTCACTTGTTCGGAAATGGGCGTTGCTAGCTGCAGTTTATCCCCCGGCTGCTTTTTTGGAGGGTACGTTAGCCTATGAGTGCCCTTTTACCCTCCTGATGCAATTAGCATCAATCCTGATGTTTAGCCTGGAGAAAAGGCTTGGAGGTCTCTTCCATGCTTTCCTTTTTCTCTTCTTGTATGAATTCAGAACCTTGTAGATCTATAGCATATTCTGCCATGGTTCCTTCTCTAGGCTGAAGGTCCTCGTCTGCTTGCTTCTCTCACTGAAGTGGCTTCTTTCATGACTCTTGTCTTCCTCCTCCTGCTTTCTCCCTAAATCTCCGCATCCGTTTTATTAAAGGCCGGCTGGAACAGCACATACTACTCAACATACAGATGCGCTGTGGATTTATATCTTGCCGTACAATGTTTTCTGTTTCCTTCCCTTAGTAATACCGTTGTTTCAGGCTGCTGCTGGCCACGAAGCTGCCGCTTTCACCCACCGCGGTCCCACCGCTGTGCGTGCAGGGTGAGGATTGCTTTCCCCCGCCACCGTCTTTGTGTTCACTCATCTTTACCCGCTTTTGACTCTTACGGGTCTCTGCTCGTTTGCCTGACCCTAAGGCGGTACCGCAGGGGTGGTGCCTTGCTTCAGCACGCTGCCGCCGTGGCCGTGCCAGGCGTCTCTGCCGTGCCCGGCGCCATTGTCCCCTACCAGAACAGGGACCCTGAAATGCAGCTCGTGCTTCCAGCTGCAAACCGAGCCCCAGTGACCTTTCTTGGTTTCAGCGTTTTCCCTTTTTCCTCACGTGCAGGAAGGCAGATGACTGCTTGCCCCTGCCCTGTAGCAAAGAGTTGATGCATCGTTTCCTTTTCCACGTTTCAGTCAAATTGTGGTGTTCAGAGCTCATCTAGAGCGTTTCAGTGTTTTGAGCACTTGCGCTCTTCTCTTCGCTCTCTTCCTGCAATTGTCTGAAGGCTGGATTTTTTTGTCTCCCTCCCAACAGTCGTTGTTACTTGCTTGGAAGTGTTGCGGGTGGGTTTGTCTCTATCAGTGCAAATTAATTTTTTCCTCATTTTCTAGTCAGCCTTTTTATTTTTATTGTACGTTGGCGTCAGTGGGGTTTTAAAGCATGAACGTGTATTTCTACCAGTGAGAGTGATCTTCTGCATAAAGGAAACCAAGGCACCGCTACTTGTACCTTTAGATCTTGGAGACTTCGCTCAGTTGAATGTAACATTAGGGTCGTATTTTAAAAAAAAAATTAGTTCAGAGTTTTAAATAACAGACTCTTATTAATGCTGGGATTTCTGCACGGTGAACCACTGCTTTGTGTGCTTGGCTGTTTGAGAGGGAAATCGGTACGTCGGCAGAGAGAGGTGTGTTGCTCTTCATCAGATGGAGCCGGATACATCGTTGGGGGCCCCAGTTTTGATTTAAATACTGGCTGTGGTAGGGGCGGTTCTGTGTAGAAAACGGGTGTTGGCTTGACTTGTATGTGTTGCTCCTGGGTTGGCAAAATAAGGAGATGAAGGGACAGTGTGATTTATTGTCTAGACACTAGACGAGGCCTGGAAGGAGGTGTATTTTCAGCATTCCTGTTGTAATCTACACAATAAGCTAAATTAAGTACCAATATGTAAACCTGAGGAGCAAGAAAAAAGAATTTGTTTAAGAGTGCTGATTACATGGGTATCTCAGCATTAAAAAAAAAAAAAAGGAGGAGGAAAAAGAGGCAAACAAGGCACTGAAAGGGGGAAGCCTCGTACCCAGCTTTTATGGGCTATGTCTAACAACCCAGGGCCTGGCTGCCAGCTAGGCAGTGAGCTACCTGAAGCGTGTAACTAGGAGTCGAGGTTTTTTTCCCAAAGCTCCTCTTTCCTGGGGCTGATTCATATCTGCCTTTATTGTTATCTGTTGTGTTCACATGGGGTTTTTTTTCTTTTGTTAGTCTGTTTTCCTTCCTTGTTTTTAAAGAATAGCTTATCTGTATGCCCCAGAAGGGTGTGACTCACAAAGATCACAAGCTTTTTACAACGAGCTAAAGCCCAGCCTGCCGACTACGAGAAAATACGCTGAGGTTTTCAGACACGAGTGCCACATTGCCTTTGCAAAAGGTGGTGATCGCACTGAGATGCACGCCGGTGGGACTCGGCTGGATCCAGAGCACGTGTTTCCACCGCTGACAGGCAAGTGTCCTTACAAAGGCATCTCATCTTGGAGCATTACTGCTTTTGTGCTTCAGTGCTCTTCGTCTCTGCTGCCCTGTCCTGTGAAGGACGGGAGCGGTAGGACACAGAGGTCTTTCTGGACACGTCGGTCGCAGGTATGCAGTGACGAGAGCTCAAATCTTGGAGTCGGAAAATGAGCCTTCATCTGAGCTCTGCTGTGATGTGAGAGACCTGGGACCGGTCACATAATGCCTTGTCCCTCTTCACCTGCCTCGTGTACGTTAACTGTGCAGACCTGCATATTTCATCGGGCTATTGCAAAGCTTGTAGGAGATTGAACTCATTCTGTCTGAGTCTTACGGTACACCCCTCATGTTACGGAGGCTCCAACAGTAGGAGAAGGAAAGGGAAGGCACCAATTTGTCTATTTTTATTTTTTGTCAGGAACGCTTGCAATGGATGACAGAGCAGACTCTCTGATGACTCTGCATCTTCTCGCCAATTCGGAACGCTCATCGCTTCTGCAGCAAACTCTGGATCGGCTTTTGGAGTGGATCTGCCCAGACGTTCGACTTTTCCTGGTGTCTGAGCGAGTTACTCCATTGAATTACTACGAGAGATATCGTAAGAGAAGCTGCGGCTTTCCTGGAATATCTGTTCTCCTTTTTCTACACGAGGACTTGGGAGAAGAACGGATTTTCCAGGTCCATGAACTCTTCCAGCGGCCGCCCTGGCGCTACCAGTGTGTCCAGATTGCTAACGGGCAAAGCCACCTCTATGCCCCAGCTCAGCAGGACTTCTATGGCCTGGACGACCAGTTGCCTGTGTGGGGCATCAGGCGGGTGCACTGTGGCCCCGAAATCCTGCGTGTCACCCTCTACTGCAGTTTCGATAACTACGAGGATGCAGTGAGACTCTACGAGATGATCCTACAGAAAGAAGCAACTATGCAGAAAAGTAGCTTCTGTGTCTTCGTGCTGTACGCAACCCAAATTATTGCCGTGCAGCTCTGCTTGAAGCAGCTGCCCATCGGGGAGGCTGCCGAGCCGAAGGAGTCGTCAGCCTTGCAGTTCAAGGTGCAAGAAATCGGGCAGCTGGTGCCTCTCCTGCCTAACCCATGTATTCCCATCAGTAGCACCAGGTGGCAAACGCAAGACTACGAAGGAAATACAATTCTGCTTCAGGTATGTGTCTGCGGTGCTCTGAGAGGAGGTTTGGTTTGGTTTTGTTTTTTCCCCAAGGAAAGCAGGACTGGTTAAAAATGGAAATTAAGATTTTGCTTCTTTATGTTTTCTATTGAATTTGTGAATGCAGTAATCGGTATCTGTCAGTGCTGATATATATAAGCACGGATCCTTGGAATATTTTTATATTGTTAAATTCACATCATTACTGCTCGCCTGAAATTGAAAGTATTAATGCTTTTTTTGAGCAGGCTAGTTTAACATCTTCCCTTCCCTGCCTGAATCAAATGATCGTAGCAGCCTATTCTTTTTCTGGTAAGTCGTTATGTTATAAATGTTTTTGAAAGCAGATTTTTAGCATCCAAAACCAGATGTATTGTAAGTGTAGCGTTGATACAACATCGCCTGCAAAAGACTTTGTGAGCCCTTTGTGAGCTGCAGTTGGGCAAAAGTGCCGAAGAAATGTGTCGTAGGAAATCTCTGCATTTTCTGTTCAAGTGTGCAGTCCAGAGGTTGTGTGAATACAAATAAATAAAACCCAACAAAGACGACTGTGCCGAGATGATACGTGCGAGCAGGAGGGCAGTTTAGCTCAGTGTGCTTTCTTTTCACTCTAGCAGCCCCTCCCACCTCTGATTATTTTTTGTTGTAATTTGGATATTTAAATTTGCCCAGCCTGTGGTTTTTTGTTTTCCTTGCAGAGCTCATTTGTAGCAAATAGGCTTAATTATTCTGTGTGGCCTATTTGTATGCTACTCTGAACACTAATTCTCAGGGCAGCCTTTGCATACTTCTCATTCAGTATCACTTTATAAACTGGTTTGCCACCCACTTGGACTGGACGAGGCCCTGAGCATCTTCATGTAGCTTTGAAGTTGGTCCTGTGTAGTTTGATAAAGTAGTAAATAAACCACATCCTCTCCTTTTTTTTTTTCCCCCCCCTGAAGTTGCTCACTAGTTACTGTTCTGTTCCATGTCCTTTCTCTGAGTGTTTACAGGAGATCCCTGTGGCTCAAATTTCACAAGTTTATCCTTAAGACTCAAGTAGGAGTCTTAAGCAGGAGCGTGGGACCATCTCCGTGTGCTGTTTCATAAAGACAGACATGAAGTGCGTCTCTAGTCTTGCAGAGGGTTGGCGAGGTGGGTGCCTTGCTCTGGGCTGGTGGCCCCGGGGGTGGCACCTTCCGCAGGAACAAGTGGGACATACTTAGCAGGTCCTGGTCCCTTTGGCCTTGCTGGTCTGATGGGTATCTCCTCCCTGGGTAAGCGTTGGTCCATGTGTTGTCCAGCCGTCAGAGGAATGCCACTTGATCTGTAGCTTCCTGGAGAAGTTTCTTTCCAAAAGCAGCTGGTCAGGATTTGCAGACGTGAAGGAGCTCCAGTAGATCTGATGCCTCCAAGAAGGTTTTGGGACAGGCACAGCTATTTGTGTGGGCTGTGCTTAGGTCACCTGCAGCAAATCGGTCGTGTGTGCGCACTAGTCCTGAGAGCCCTCTGAAAGCTGTGCACGAGTTGGGAGAAACTGAATTCAAGTGTAACTTTCTTGTTTCTTTCTCAAAATAGTAAGGTTTATGACCAGTGATTTCAGTTTTATAATTTATTAAGAGACAGATGAGCCTACGGGATTGGTTCACTCAAGCGTAGCGTAGCTGCTCAGCCGAGCGCTGGCGGTGACCGCAGAAAATCCTGAGACCATCAGCCTGTCTGCAGGGGATCAGACCAAGGCCTCATCCTGCCCAGCAGCTGGTCACAGGCGGCTGCCCTGGGAGGAACAGCAAGAGGACAAGTGCATGTGTTACACCCCACCGATACACTCCCGAGCTGCCTGTTTTAAACTCAAGGGTCTTCTGAAGCCAGCTGTGGTAACTTGCAGTGACTCTCCTTTCCAAGCGTTTATCTAGTCTCCCCTTGAATCCATGTGAACTTTTTGTGTCCCACCTTGGCAGGGACCTCCCCAGGTCTACTGCCACCTTCTCTTATTTGAAATTGGATCCACCTGGCTTCATTTGATGGCCTCTGCCTCTTGCGTTGCAAATGGCAGGGAATGGACAATACCTGTCTGTTTCTCCAGGTGGCTCATGGCTTTATAGCCTTTTTTCCTCTCCCTCCCAAACGTTTTTTGTTGGTGTTTTCACCCCCCACCCCCCCGCCCAGGCTTAAGATTCCCAGTATAGGTGGTTGTTCCTTTACTGTGCTTGCAGTTGTCCTCGTTGTCCATTTCTGAGCCTTTCCAGCTCCACGATACTCTGTTGCGCGCTGCGGTTGAGGGGCAAACACCATGGTCCAGCTGGGGGACCAGGGCTGCACCGTGCGTAACAACGTTCTCCGTTCCGTTTGGGATAATCCGTAAGATTCCATTTGCTTTCTAGACTGCTGTCAGGCACTGAACTGACGCTAACACGGTGCTGTCTGTCACAGAAATGAGACCCTGGGGTTACAGTCAACTCGCAACCTAGCATTTTGTGTGTGAAGCTGGGATTGTTTTTCTCCATGTGCATCACATTATCTACGTTGTTTCGTCTGCCATCGCTCAGGCTTGGGAGAGTCCGGTCGTGTGTGCGGGGGGCTGACTGACTCACGCTGCAGGTGACTTCAGCACAGCGAGGCTAGGTGAGAGCATCACCTAGTAAAGCTAGAACGATATGTTAATGGGGTTCTCTCCAAATTTTATTCAACAGGTTCAAGACAGCTCAAAGCCCCGTGAAACAAATGTTGGGCTTTCTCATCAGCATAATAATGCAGGCAACGAAAAAATCCTGCAGGACTCTGTCCCAGCCCCTCTCCCTGTAAAGCGGGGTAATCCTGGGCAGAGAAGCCGGGAGGTCAGAGCCACGAAGGGTAAAACAAAACCTGAGCAAAGCGAAGCCCTTACTCCTGAGCAAGCTGGCGGTGACTTCCGTAGGCACTTCTGCTCTTCTCACAGTGGTCCAGCAGCCCCGTCGTGGTGGGATGCCGCCTCCCTCCGCAGGCAGGCGAGCAGCAAGCTGCAGGCTTCTCTCCAGGAAAGCCGCGTTCGCCGGCAGGCAGCGGAGACCAACGTTGACACCGGGCTCGCCGTGGCGAATCCTGCGAGTGGCCGCTGCCCGCTG